TAAGTCCTCTTCTCCCCCTGCTTGAACAATCTTCTGATATCTCAATGAAGTTGAAGACTAACCTTTTGGTACTTTTCTGTTAATTTGTTCATATATTTATCATGACTCCTCTCGACCAGATATCAATGTTGCCCTTCCTTTTTGTTCTCATGGTTCTTATCGCCCCGTACACCCGGATCGATCTCGTAGATTGTAGGTCTTTCTTTGTGTCATTTTTTTATCTCTCACTGATCAACTCATTGGCTGATTGCTCAATGATCCTCTTCAATAGAAACAGTTCATCAAATCATATTATCAAGCACTACAATCAATCATCAAATTTCACTCACAGACTATTTTTAGTTTTAGTTCTAGTCTTAGTTTTGTTGTTTTCTAACTGTTCTCCATGTTATTTGTGTTTCTATAATTACCACATGTAGTCCTTGTCAATGCAAAGATCAGATCATTGTTATAGTGTGCACTCAGCAAGCAAAGGTTGGAAACATCCCCGCCTGATTCAACTGGTGTGTTTATTCAGCCATCACGAGGCTGGGAAAGCACTGGGATGAGCCAATGCTCACAAGCTCAATACAACTTCCGTACAGTACAGGTGTGCAATCTTCCCCCCTGGTTGTCACGCAGCCTGCCTCACACCCTTAACAAGGTGAGATGACTCACCTGCTTGTCGGGTGAGTCATCACATTGTAGCAACGTGACCAGACTGGGTGTAGCCCATGCTGGCTGGCAGGTGTAACTCACATCGGGTATGACGATGTAGACAGCATGTGTTTGAATGTCTCACGTGAGCGTCACGTGCCATCAGCCCCGTGGTGTACATGTGTATTAGCTCAATCAACTATGGAAGATTTGCATATATTTGGTAGATGTTGCACAGCAAAACAGCACCGGTGCAAAACAGACACAAGATCCACGAGTCCCGCTGGTCACATCAGTCAGGGTGTTATTCTCATCCTTGAATTTCCTCGTACGTCATGTCATCAGGTTCTACTGACGGGCAAAGCTCTGTGGCGAATGGAAGGGTTTCGGAGGGCCTCTACTACGAAAGCCTTGGTGGAGAGGAGACTTTCACTCGAGATGAAGTACAACCAAGCTTATGAAACCAACAGTATATGAGCAATTGGATTGATTGAGGTATATGATCCTGTAAAGGTTACAACTGGGACTACAATAATAAAAATGATCTGGGGTCATATGGTATTAAAATTTTCCGTGATCCTTTGATTTGACACATGTAGAATTTAATTTTCCCCGCGGAAAATATTATTTTTTTGGTAGTGAAATGATCACGACATTCAAATCTATGCAACCTTACCTTGCTCATTGGCCACAGCTAGAGAAGAAAAAACTAAAGATTCAGCCGGACAATCGCGAAAGAAAGCTTCAGTGGTGGCTCACGTTGTCCTAAGGTAGAGCCAACGAGCGCAACGAGAGCAAGCAGGGTAAAGAACTTGAGACCGAATTGCATTTTGGTAAAAAAGTTATGATGGTTTGGTTGTTAGAACGTGGTAGATAGACCTAAAGTACTGAGTTTTGTGAGTGAGCTTGTGGTTGATGGAAGATGTGATGGTCTGGAGAAACAAAACGCCCTACTCGACCTCTCCTTATATACTCGAGCTGAGTGCGTGCGGCCGGTGCTCGTGACTTAGCATCCCCTTCGAAGCTGCAGCTAGAATTGCTTGTCCAAGACCTTGCAATCGAGCTTGGTAATCTCTAGTTCCGTCCGGAGCACTGCCATGTTTCTCATGAAGGATCAGTCATGTTCCTTGGTCTGATTCATGACTGGAAAAGTCAGAGGAGACATATCCGCGTACGCCTCCTTTGTTGAGTTTATATTTGTCAAAGGACTTTAAAATGAGTGCGGTATAGTAAGGGCCTGTCAACAAGAAGCGGTCGGGTTTGTAGCTGTTTGTACTCATCTCATTCTTGGACTTTCATTTTGGGCTTGACTTTCTCATTCAATCATGTTCGAATTCGCTTGGTATATGTCTTGGCTTAGGGCTTTTCGCGAGTGTCAACGCTTTCTTGGATGATTCGGATCGGAATGAGCTCTTTCAATTGACTCCAGTTTGGTAAAGTTGATTGAGAAAGACGGAAGCATTTTATATACCCTATGAGTATGTACTTGGGAAGCCGTAAAACGGCGGTTATGTAATCTCGGAGATCAAGCCCGATTTGCGTCACCAGGATATGTCTGCT